GTGGCTGGCCCCCGGCGGGAGCCGGGGCGGCGGCGGCAGCGGCCGAGAAGACTGCGGCGAGGGAAGCGCATCCAGCGTCCCCGGCGGCGGCCCGGTTCTGCGCTCTCGGGCGGCCGGCGGGCGCGGGCCGGCGCGATGGAGCCGCAGCACGTGCGCCCCGCGCCCGGCGCCTGCAGCCCGGCCTGCGAGGAACCGGTGGGTACAGCGCCCGCGCCCACCCTCTTCCACTTCTACGCTGCCCTCCCCCCCCCCTCCCGGGCCGGGTTCCGTTCAGGAAATGGCCCGGGATGAGGTCCCCAGCTGCTTCCCAGCCGGGGCAGCGCTTCCTCCGCTGCTGGGGCGCCTCCTCGCGCGCCGCCCGGAGCGCCTTTGTCCCGCCAGCCGCGGCTCTTCTCGAGGGGCCGCCGGCTAACCGCTGACGACGGCCCTGGGAGGACCGTTTCCGCGCTTCGCCGATTTCTCAACTTTGAAAGTTGGTTTTAGAGCGTCGTGGGCTGGGAGGAGGAGAGCAGAAGCCCCGGCTCTGGGATCAGCGTGTGGGGCGCGGAGCCTGGTCTCCGCTACCGAGACCGCGCCCTGGCCGTCACCTGGGCGCGCAGGTTCCCGGGGACGGGCGCTCGGGGAGGCTGCTCGCAGCTGGCAGCCCGGAACCACGCCTCCGACTCCTGTGCGCCGCTAATGCCCCGGGCTTTGCTAGGGTTCAAGGGTTTTGTCAGGGATGAAGCGGGAAGCTAACCTCGATTTCTCTGCACATGCAACGCGGAGGTTGGGTAATGTTAGGGACCGAGAGTAGTGTATGCGTGTTCTCTGTGCTAGGGTGGATAAGGAGGAGGAGACGGGGGCGGGGGGGGGGGGGCGGCTTTGGAGTTCTTCCCTCAACTCCTTCAACTTCCTTCTTTCTTCCAACCGAGACAGTCAGAACCACCTCACAACCCCCCAGGGATTCTCTCCCGAAATCCCCGGCTCACTCAGAGCTCTGTAAACCTCCGTGGGCTGCCTTCACCCTGGCATCGGATTTTGCCTCTCCATGCCCTGCTTACTCCGTCTGAGCTGAAATTCCTGGACCTCTTTGAAAAGCCTCGTCCAAAATTTCTGGCCTCACCCGTGTTGTTTTCAGCAACGTGTTCAAGTTGCTCTTTTCCCAGGGACTCGGCGGCGTGTCTGCTCCGGCTGGCCCCCTACCTGCTGAGAGCGTCTAGGTCAGGCGCCAGGCTTGGTTCTCCTTTTTCTTTGCGAATATGTACACTCCCTGCTCCTTTGTCCGGAGTACGATTCTCTGCCTCCTGTTTTCCGACCTTTCATAAGTGTCCTTGGACTCTGATCCTTCTGTATCTGCAGCTGTCTTTGCTTTTGTAAATTTGAACATGTTGTTAGGTTGCCCATCTGCTCAGATTCTATTGTGATTATCACTGGAGATCAAATTATTCTTGAAATTGAACATACAATATAGTTTTGAAGTTTAAGTCAAAGATCACTAAGAACTAAACTCAGGGACTGACCTGTTTTTGTTACTTGTTTATTTTTAAACTTTCCTATATGATGCCCTTTTTGAACCTAGATAGTTTAAGCCATCACCAATTACAATGAAAGATACCCCGTTATATTAATTTTACTTTAGGGTGCTGATGCCAGAACTACTTCTGTGTCTAGAATTATACAGAGAAACTTTGTTTGTTTCACATCTCAAAATGACAGACATGTAATGCTCATATATTAGCTTTTAAAACTCGAGCCCTAACACAAATGTGTGAGTGAATTGTGACACTTTATCCAGATTGCAGGACTCTCCTTAAAAAGTTAGCTTTATTTTCTTTAAACGCTGAAGGCCTTTTATTTATTCAACAGATATTTTATCCAACACCTACTGCGTTCCAGGACTGTTGGATGTAGCAGTTAACAACATAGACACGAATCCTTAAATCCTCAGAGCGTTCATCTTAACTAAACAGTGTCTTGTTTCATACGTGTTAATGGTTGACATCAGGGGTGGGAAGCTTTTTTCTGCCAAGGGCCATTTGGATATTTATAACTTCATTCTCCGACCATACAAAATTATCAACCTAAAGATTACGTTGCTATTAAAAAAAGCTCCTAGATTTATTGAATTTTGAGTCCCACTGCGGTTGGCTTGGCAGGACCAGACCAAATGACATTCCCCACCCCTGGTTTACATTCAGGCCAGAAAGCACCTGCCGAGATCTCAGGTATGTGGCATAAAAATGATACTTTTGACACAGTGGTTTTATTTGAAACTGTGGCCATTCATCTATGATTACTAAGTCTAAGAACTAATAAAGGGAATTCTCATTTAATGTGTTAAAAAAATAAATTATCCAAATTATTGAGAAGTGACATATATAAGAAAAAAGGAGGGATAAATTTTGGGGGGAGGAAAAGCATAGAGTATTTAAATGTTAATTATTTCAGTCATTTCGAGCTAAGAAGAAACATCAGTTTAATTTAAATATGTTTTGAAGGAATACAAAATTGATCAAAATGAGGTATTCCTGAACTTTCCTTGAACTTTGAAAGGGTAAATCAATGATTCTTAAGAATCCAATCAAAGCCATGGACTCTGTTTTACCCCAAAATGTTCCTATGCAACATACATGTAAAATTTTAAATAAAACTTTAGGGGAATCACAGATTTCCTGAAGCCCAATCTGTGAACCCTCAAAAACCTTGGGTTAAAAATAATTTACTTTGACTTGGACCCATTTCACAGTTATTTTAAAACCAGAGGCCCAGTGCATGACATTTGTGCACTGGTGTGTGTGTGTGTGTGTGTGTGTGTGTGTGTGTGGAGGGGGGGTGGGGGTGGGGGGTCCCTCAGCCCAGCCTGCACCCTCTCACAGTCTGGGACCCCTTGGGGCAGTGATGGTGAAACTTTTGAGCTCAGCGTGTCAGCATTTTGAAAAACCCTAACTTAACTCTGGTGCCGTGTCACATATAGAAACTTTTTGATATTTGCAACCATAGTAAAACAAAAATTTATATTTTTGATATTTATTTTATATATTTAGATGCCATTTAACAAAGAAAAATCAACCAAAAAAATGAGTTTGCGTGTCACCTCTGACACGCATGTCATAGGTTTGCCATCACTGCCTTGGGGGATGTCCAACTGCTGGCTTAGGCCTGCTCCTTACCGCTTGGCTCGCTGCTCCTTAGTGCTGCCACGGAGGCGGGAGAGACTCCCGCCACTGCTGCTGCAGTCACCAGCCTAGAGCCAGGCTTCTGGCTGAGCAGTGCTCCCCCTGTGGGAGTGCACTGACCACCAGGGGGCAGCTCCTGCATTGAGCGTCTGCCCCCTGGTGGTCAGGGCATGACATAGCGAATGACTGGTCAGTTGGTTTGCATATTAGGGTTTTATTATGTAGGATTTGCTTTTAGAATTCAAATATAGTTACCTTTAATTCTTTATTATAAAAGTATATGCATTTATGCTTATGAAAAACATACAAACAGGCAATGTTCACATTACATAGATCCTGTTGCATTATCCCATGTTGCATATATAACAGCATACATGTAAGGATTTACTGTCATTATGTTTTTGATGGAATCTGAAACGTTATGATTCTACATGGAACTATTCACAGAAGAGTAAATAACCTTGGGAATTGATGCTGAGTGATAGTAAAGAGAACATCACTTCTTGTGTGAAATGTATCTATGACTGGAGCTGGGAGATGTAGGACTTCATGACATTCTTGTATTTGAGGGTGAAATTTATTTAGTTAAGTGAGGGCATGTAAATAAACTGCTAGCCACATCATTACTCCAGCTTGGACGTTAGGCCTAAAAGAAATGTTAGCATTCAGGTATCTGTATATTTTCTTTAATGCTAGCTTCAGAATGTAACCAAGTCCGTGGAAATAGTGGTATTACCTAAATTTCTAATCAATTAAAAAATATTTTGTTGAAGGGAATAGGTAGGTAGGAAGTCGTTAGCTGAACAACACTTACTCAAAAAATAGGCACAAGTTAAAAAGTGGGAGTATTTGCAAAGTAGTTCTTAGACAATGGAGTGATACTAGGATATATTTACCAAAATTTGTTTTTATTTCCAAATGACTTTTATATCTAGTTTCATAGGCTCTGATGAAACTATTCAGAACTAACAGAACATTATTAGGGAAGAGTTTCAAAGGAAAAAGGGCCAAAATTTAAAGGAGAGGTTATAAGTATATGTATGCATTAGATCTAGATGAAGAAAGGATTTTACCTAAGGTGCAGGTTGACCATATGTACGTGCAGTTGATGTCACAATTAATTTCAATCTTTTTTATTCAGTTAATAACTCAGGCAACTTTTATTAAAGTTTTGAATGTTAAATTCTAAATATGTAACAGATAGCATATTAGAGAAGTAGTTCTGAAGTTTGGATGAAAGCAGGCCTATACTTGTGCAACCTGCAGTGTTCTCTGCTTGATTCCCATTGGTTAGGAGTCGGAGTCCTAAAACATGACTGTTTTTCAAGTGCCTACGTGGGTTTTTCAAGACATAAATGTAGACTTCTACATGTTTATGATACAATATTTAAGATAAAGCCATAAAACATGCAGGATTTAAAAATCCCAAATATATTTTAAACCTCTTTTGTTATAAGTAGTGATCAATAATATAATTCAAAATATTTATAAATTATAATATGCTAATATTCATAAATTGGTATGGGCATGAGAATTGGCTGTTCCTTAGATATATTCAGTATAATAGCTTTGTTTTTTAAAAATGGGGCAGGAAGCCTTATCAGTAGAAACCTAATTTAGTGATAGTTTTATTCCCATTTTATCCTGAATGCAGCATCTACATGGCTTATGTCCAAAAATTTTTTTAAAATATATATTTTATTGATTTTTTCAGAGAGGAAGGGAGAGAGATAGAGAGTTAGAGAGAAGCATCGATCAGCTGCCTCCTGCACACTCCCTACTGGGGATGTGCCTGCAACCAAGGTACATGCCCTTGACTGGAATCGAACCTGGGACCCTTGAGTCCGCAGGCCGACTCTCTATCCACTGAGCCAAACTGGTTAGGGCTCCAAATTTTTAATAGTGTGTTTGTGATATGTTATGTTCTAGAGATTTCAAAGTAGCAATAATAAAAGAAATATGTGAGACACATCTAAGAAATTGTTTGAAAATCTGAAAACACTAAGTGAGGAAAAAAGTCAAAGAAGTCTTGTAAATCAAAGAAATAATGTAATATACCACATATATGAAATTTATTCAGTTGCCATTTTGAGCTATATTAAAATGGTTGAAAATATTGAGCTCTTGACATTGCTGTTATATTTTAAGGGAAGTGGAGTGCATTGCAGATAAACAATATACAGATTGAATATTCATTCTGGAAACTTCTAATTTACAGATAAGACCTGAGAAGAAGCTAGTGGGTCAGGTACCTTAAATTAGGGATTACTTGAAACATTCTCTTCAGTAGAAATGATGCAAGAAAAGAGTTTTTTTCATAAGATGCCTTTTGTCGAAATGAAGTGACATTCCATCCTATACAGAATTATCACTCAGCATTCTATGTGCTGGGGAAATTGTAGAGCAGGGATCATTTATTAGCTTGAGCAGGCAAAGGCTGGCTGTGCTTTCAAAGTCATAACCAAGTTTTAGAACTTGTTATAGGAGTTTTTGAAGGGCAGGGATAACTGAGGCTACATTTTCATGAAGTTATGAATACCTTTACTTTGAGGTATTAATTATCCAGTTCTTGCACTTGAAACTATTTAAAAAAATTTTTTATATAGATTTTAGAGAGGAAGGGAGAGGGAGAGAAAGGGATAGAAACATCAATGATGAGAGAGAATCATTGATCGGCTGCCTCCTGCACGCCCCCCACTGGGGATGGAGCCCACAACCCCAGCATGTACCCTGACTGGGAACCGACCCCCTGGTTCATAGGTCGATGTTCAACCACTGAGCCACACCGGCCCGGCTTAAAACTACAAGTATCTTTACGCTATCACTATTTGAATCAGTGATTTTTGACCTTGGTCCCAGCTTATGATCTTGGGCCTCAATTTCTTTACATTAAAAGAGGTTTGAACTAGGTTTATTCTTTCAAAAGACCATTTACTAGGTATTCTTGTCTGCATTGCAGAATCATTGGACTTAGCAGTGAGCAAACAGCTAGGTTGGGATAAAGGCCATTATTTTGATTAGTTATTTTTCTCTTAAAGAATTCCTTTCACAGTAATGTTCTTTTCGATACAGAATTACATATTTACCTTCATAAGGGCTCGAAGTTTATTTTGCCCAACTCCTTCCCTGACTGATGAGGACAACTGAAGCTGGAGAGGTAGCCTTTATCAATTAGTATTACATGTCAGCAATCTCCTGCCTTTGAAGATTCAAATAAACCAGCACATTTTAAAGTTTAATGAATTTCATCTATAATGTGTATATACAGTATTGGGATTGCACATTATTTCTTAAAAACTACGAGAACTGTTAGTTTTTTGACACTAGATCAAATTATTGAGAGTAATATTACAACTAAAAAAACCCCAATAGATTCTTAGTTGGGACTACCATTAAAGGTTATATCAACTGAAAAAATAGGTCATGTCAACTGAAAAAATACAAATGGGTACTAAAGGCCCATGAACACCTTAGATTGATTTTACTGAAGTGTTAAGGGACTCCAGTCTGGCAGGGACCCATTTTTTCCCCCCGGACTTTAAAATTTAGCTAACACCAATTTGGAATTTTCTGTGGATGACAAGAGGAATCTGTAGTTTTTGTATTTTCTCCTCCAAGAGCTGCCAGCCTCCCACACCTGCACCGGTTCTTTGAAGCTGTGCGTGCGCGACCCGCCCGCCCTCAAGGCTGCTATTCCCTCGTGTGCGCGCCAAACGAGTTTTGAGCCGTGGCTGCAGCCTGTTGATCCCATTTCCTCCTGCACTGGTTCTGGTTAGGGAGTGGCTCTCCCAGGACTTCCACTGTTTTTGTGCTCCGGCACCGGTATGCACAGGGCTCCGGTGCATTGTTTTCTAATAGGCGGGCGCCGGTAGCGCTTCAGCTTAGACCTTTATTTTACATTCTTTCGTCTTGGGCTGCGTGTACTCTCTTGTTTCTGGGCGCTCTCCACGTCCTTCCCAGTTTCCTGTTAGCGAAAGGGATCGCTCTTTCGGAACGAAAAGTTCTCAGGGCCGAGTGGAACCTCCCGGAAAATGCTCTTCTCTTCCGTGTGCACCGGCTGGGAGTGGGGGTGGGCCAGCAACTGAAAGGGAGGACCCGGGCCCCAGGGAGCGGCGGGAGAGGTGTGGTTCGATGGAGAAAGGCTGAGGGGTGGCGAGGCCGACCCGGGGCAACGTCCTTGCATCCGGGGGCGGAGGGAACTTCTATTCAGCGCCAACTCTGCGCAGAGGCCCAAGTCTCTCTGGGGAGATCTGAGCCCAGAAGGTGGTAGGGTGCACCCAGGGGGGCCGGGAGGCATCGAGGTTCCCTTTCTACTCCAGGGCCATTCTTGCTCCTGCAGCCCGTGAACCGGAGGAAGGAGCATCGCCACTGCCAGGCGTTGGGGGATGGCTGCTGAGGTTTCCTGTCCTCCAGGCGCTCGCGTCCCTCCTGGAGACTCCAGCCCCCGGGGAGGCGGGAGGTGTCGGGTTCCCGCTGTCACTCCCAGCCTCTCTCCCCGCGCTGCTCGCCTTCTGGGTCCGGACCCCTGTCCATCCCGAGGCGAGGTGGCCCGGGCGGGCCGCAGCCGGTGGGGGAGCCTGGCGGCCCCGCCGGGAGGGCACCTGGCCCCACGGACCCTCCTCGCGCGACCGGTGGGGGCGGAAGATGGCGGCGGCGGGGAGCCCACCCACTGACCGCCGCCGCCGCCCCCGCCGGGCGGTGCTGTGTCCCCGCAGGAGTCAGAGAGGATGGCCGGGGCCGGCGGCCAGCACCACCCTCCGGGGGCCGCGGGCAGCACGGCTGTCGGGCCCAGCGCCGTGGTCACCCCCGCTGTTGCCTCGGCGGGGCCCGGAGAGGATTCGTCCGACAGCGAAGCCGAGCAAGAGGGTCCTCAGAAACTGATCCGCAAAGTGTCCACCTCGGGGCAGCTCCGGACCAAGGTGAGGCGGGACGCGCCGGGCGGGGAGTGGAGGAGAGGTGCCTGAGGTGCCTGGGGCGCCGGGAGCGCCGGGCGGCCGGGAGCTGGCGGAGCCGCGGGGGCGGGGCGGGGGCGGGGCCTGGGGTAGGGGCGGGGCCGTGGGGCGGGGCCGTGGCGCAGCTGGAAGGGATTCCTGGGCTGTGCTCCCTCGCCCGCCCGCCGAGGTGGGCTGCTCTGGAGATCTGGGGGCAGAGGTGCAGGAGATGCAAGCTTTGCCTAGCGGGAGCGTGGGAAAAAGCAGCGGCGCTGTTGACAGTTTCCACCAGGGAACTTGAAAGAAATGTCTTCTTGTTTGTCCTCCCTGCCTAGCAGAGGTTTGGGAGAGTGTGTGTGTTGCTCAGTGAGAGGAATGCAGGCTGAGGAGCCAGGGCCGCAGGGCCCCGCCACCTTTCCTGACTGGCTCTGAGAGGGAGGTGTGCAGGTGACCGGGACAGCCCCTCTGCCTTCTGCTGCGGCTTGGAAGGCCAGCGACACCACTAGTAAACGATGCATACCGTTATCCGCACCCTGCTAGGCGCATACAGCTGCAGGCCAGTTTTTCTCCTCTTAGTTTCCTGCCAAGTGCATAGTTCAAATTTTACCAACATACCATATGGTTATTTTTAACAATGAAGAGTAAGCTCTTTGTATTATATGGAGATTAGCATGTTGTTACTCTTGTTATATAGCAGGTGCTATTGATCTGTGAGAGGTCAAGGTTAAGAGATTTAATTTGATGGTGAACATATACATAGCAAATGCTTATGACTCAATGATATACTAGTGACCCGGTGCATGGATTTGTGCACATTGAAAGGAAATTAATTAGAAGGTGGCTGGCTGGACGGGACTGGGCAAGATGGGCTGGACACACCCTGGAACCAACCTCATGCGGTCCCTCCCTGGTGTCCAGACGCACCTGGAGTGGTGCTGAGGCTCGAAGGGCATCTGCAGAGTGAGTGGGGCCCCTTCAGCAGGAGGGGTCCCTCGGCCTGGCCTGCAGGGATTGGCCGAAACCGTCTCTCCAACATCTCCCGAGGGGTCCTGGAGTGCAAGAGGGCACTCCGCAAAGTTGTTGTCATGCAGGGTGTAGAACACAAACGCAAATGTGCAGTAAACCAGATTCAGGGCCGACAGTACCCCAGCAACAACATAACCCATGGTCAAAGGTGGAATCCTACAGCCCGGTGAGGAATTGTTTTTGGGGTGCGTCACCCGAGAACTGCTGCCGTCACTGCAGCTCATCAGCTCCTGCATTGAGCGTATGCCCCCTGGTGGTCAGTGCATGTCATAGTGACCAGGCAGAGGGACACTTAGCATATTAGCCTTTTATATATATATATACTAGAGGCCCAGTGCATGAATTCGTGCATCGGTGGGGTCCCTCAGCCTGGCCGGCAATCGGGCCAATCGGGGCTGGCTAGGGGGGAGGAGAGCACGGGAGGTTGGCTGGCCATGGGAGGTTGGCTGGCTGTGGGAGGTTGGCTGGCCATGGGAGGTTGGCTGTGGGAACTCACTGACCACCAGGGGGCAGCTCCTGCATTGAGCGTCTGCCCCCTGGTGGTCAGTGCGCATCATAGCGACCGGTAGTTCGGTTGACTGATCATAATGGTTACTTAGGCTTTTATATATATAGGTATATAGATTCTAATATATATAGATTGTAATTTTCATTATAGTTTAAAAACCACCACATGGAAAGTTTGTTACCAGTGGGAAATTTTAATGAGAAATTTGAAAAATGAACTCATAAAATCATTGGATCTGTGTTCTTTAAAAATAAATTTGCAAAAGTTAATTTATTCTATATTTTTATGAAAATTTGTTTTCTAAGGTCAGTAAAGCCCTATATTAAAATGTAACTTTTATTATATGCCTATGGACTAATGTTTTATTATTAGCCTGCCTCCTTTTTTTCTAAAATAACTAAGTGTAAGCACACACAACTGTTAACATTGCAGTTAATAAAAAGTAAAGGATTGCTTTAGTCATTTTTTAAGAGCACATTTTGTAATTCCTTTTAATAGTGACATTTGAATTTTATATCATTGGTGATAAATTAAGAATGTGGGGTTTAATGTGCTTTTAGAAGACTAAAGCTAAACAAGATAGGAACTTTCCTAAGAGCACCTTTAACATTTGAAATTTTAACTTTTAAAGAAGTTCATAAAACTGTTAATAATGGGCAAAATGGCAAGTTTTTTAAAAATAGTATATTTTGTATATTTATATAAAATGGTTAAAATTCCTTGCATGTTTATATCAAGGTTATCCAGTAAATTTATACAGTTTGAAAGAAACTTTAGAGATGGCTCTATTTTGAATTGAGTCAAGTCAAACAACAAATTTATTGGAAGTACCACTAAAATTTGCATATTTCACGAACTCATAGTAATAACTAAGATTGCCTTATTTAAGTTCGATATTATTTATGGTTTGGGGTAAAGCGTGTTTATTGGAACTAAGTAAATTAAAAAAGCACATTTATTGTTAGTTTTTCATTTAATTTTCTGATAAAAATACTGAGCACATACATTTTGTTGTGAATATAGATGATTAGTGATCATGAAATGAAATGTTCTTTAAATATCCCAAGATGTATGTAATTTCAGAAATTCTGCATTTTATTCTAGCTGAACATGAACGTGAAGGAGGTTTTGTTTGATTAACATATAAGTTAATCAGCATTTTCACATACAAACACCTGAGATCAGGGCCTAAAACTGCTCAGGTCAGTGAGCCTCAGCCTCCCTGCCTTCCCCACTCCCCAATCCAGACTGTTCATATATGCTACAAATCTCATCAGTTACATTTCTTTAGCACATATACTGATTTTCCGGGAAGTGAGTGAGGGCAGTGACAGAATTCATAGAATGAGAACTGCTATATTTAATATTGGTTCCCAGTCTTTAATTATGGTCCAGCTAATAGTTAAGGGAAAAGATCTTTAGAAAAAGACAGACATTAGATTGATCCCCTTCTCAGATATAGAAGATTGGGAGATCCTGGAGGAGAAGAGGTCCAGGATTCGCCCAAGGCCTAACGGTTTTTAAGACAGCGTAGCAATTCTTGCCAACATCCTGAAGATAGACCAAAGGATCACCAGGTCTGACTGGTTGTGATTACTCGTCGCATTTTTGACCCTGGCTCAGTAGCAGCCTGGGATGGTGTGTGTGGTACATGTACACATACCTACACACATATACACAGGCTTATATATGTTTGCATATATGTGCTCTTTATAAAGCATTCATGTATAGATGTACAGAGGGCCTACAGCAGAATGAATTACAGGTAGAGATAAAAAATTATTAAATGAGTGACTGTACATATTATATACTTACATATAATGCTTTATAGATATATGGATATTATTGTTAAAACATAGTACTTGTCTGAGTTGCCATTAAGATCCTTAGGGTCAGAAAGCTATTTGGTATCTAGTTTGGATTTGGAGTAAGAAAAGGCCACTAACTTTAGGTAATTGCCTTATTAGAAGTGTTTTTCTGTTATAAATACTTGTTAATGTCTTAAATAATTTGAATGTCAGTAAAGAAACAGTATAATGTGTATAGACTTTTCTTAATTGAAAAAGTAATTCATGTATATAAGATGACATTCAAACAGTGGGAGAGGTTATTTGATGGTGGGAGGATACCCAGTGAAAAGCAGTCTCCTTCTCACCCCAGAACTTCTAGCCTCCGTCTCCGAGGGCATTGTTTTGGTGTGCTTCTAGAAAATTTTTACGCACATACCCATCTTTCTTTTAAAACTACTCATGGGAGCATTTGATACACATGCTATGTCTTGTTTGTTTGAAGGTATAATGTAGAGATCATTTCTTTTTTAAAAAATACATATTTTTATTGATTTCACAGAGCAAGAAAGAGGGAGAGAGAGATGGAAACATCAGTGATGAGAGAGAATCATTTATTTTAATGATGGCAAAGTATTCCATTATGTTAAGTTGAATCTAGTGCAGTTACTATTTCAGTAGGCCCAAGATGGTCAACGGTCAATCAAGTAGAACGGTGATTGATGGGAGGTGTCTGTCAAAAGGTACAAACTTTTAGTTATTAGATGAGTAAGTTCTGGGCATCTAATGTACAGCACAGTGACTATAGTTAATATTACTGTATTGTGTACTTGAAATTTGCTAAGAGAATAGATCTTAAGCATCCTCACACACACAAAAAGGTAACTAGGTAAGGTAATGGATGTGTTAATTAACTTAATTGTGGTAATATTTCACAATGTATATGTCTATCAAATTATCACATTGTATACTTTAAGGATATGCAATTTCATTTGTCACTTGTATCTCAATAAAGCTGGAAAAACTGGTTGAAAATGGGAAACTTCATATGGTTCAACCCAATATGGTATATCATAATTTAATTGACCAGTTAGTTCTCTATGGAAAAAAATAGGGGTTATTTTAGGACAACGCTAATCTTAGGGTTGTTTTGTTTTGTTTTTCGCAGTGCATATGATAACTTTTTAAGCAACGAATTAAGACTGGCATGCTTTTTAAAATTTTATTATTTATTTTTTTAATCCTCGAGAATATTTTTCCCATTTTTTTTTTAGAGGGAATGGAAGGGAGGGGGGAGGAAGAGTAGGGAAGGAGAGATAGAAACATCAATGTGAGAGAGACACATTGATCAGTTGCCTCCTGCACCTGCCCCGACTAGGGCTGGGGATCAACCTACAACCCAGGTATGTGCCCTGGACCCAGAATTGAACCTGAGACCCCTTGGTCCACAGGGCAGACAGGCATGCTTTTAAAATTAGTTTGGTTTAATAAAATCCTCATGTACTTTTTTTAAAAAAATTGTCTTTATTATTGAAAGTACTACAGATGTCCCTTTTGTTTGTTTGTGTGTTTTTATTATTGACCCTTCTCCCACCCCACTCCCACCCCTCTTAGGCTTATATACTTGCTAGTACTCTCCTTACATCTCCATATTATATATTTCTTCA